ATTCATAGAATCTTCTAGACTATAGAACCCATAGAATTGTATAAAATTGTAGGGAAAATTCTAGTAGTAAGATCAAGTCGATAGAATCCTATGATAGCTATGGGTGGAGATCAACGTGATGTTACTATTAGGATTCTATCTTTACAATTCTCCCAACAATTCTATACAATCCTATGGGTACTATAATAGTCTAAAAGATTTAGGGGGTGTATTCAATCATGACTTTTGTAGAGTTTTAAAAACTTTTATGAACTTTAAAAGTTTAGAGGTATTAAATTTAAACTTTTAGAGAGTCTTTAAAGTTAGGCGTTATTCAATCAAGATTTTTAAAGAGTCTTTAAAAGTCGTGTGGTATTCGATTAAGACTTTTAAAGAGTCTTTAAAAGTCATGTGGTATTTAAAAAGTTATGAACTTCTGTAAACTTTTTAATTTTAGGACTTAGACTTTTCCTTCTCAAATATACATACTTGAAATCAAACCATCAACCCCAAGATTTAAAAATTTTTCTTTCTAACAACTCTGAATATTTTATCTCTCTATTTAAACTCTATTTTTTCTCCATATTTAAACTTTATAAACCTATCTAAATTTAATAAAATTATTTTTTTTCTTCATTATCCTATATTTTCCTCATACCTAAACTCTACCATTTTTTTCTCTCTCCTGAACTTTACAATCTTTCTCTAAAAATTCGAAATAATATTGTTTTTAGTTCATTATTGCTTGTTTATATTGATTTTTATTTTTTCTATGAATTTTTCATCCCTAACTTTCTCTAATTCTCCCTAAATACATGAACAAAGTAAATTTTTCATCGTCAAATTTTAGTATTTGTTTCATAATATTCATATAAATACTATATATTTTGATTTTGATTTTTTATGTTTATATTCGTAATATATATATATATATATATATATATATAATAATTCATTAAAACCAAACATTCATTCAATTATGTGTTAAGGGTCACATTGATCATGAGGGGGTTCCTTGTGCGCAGTGAGCACCGGTCTAGCCTCTGTGGTTCATGTTCAGTTGAGTCACCATGATTTACATCTTCCCAAATGCTCTGTCGGGCCGGGGTGTGGGGGACCCTTAGGGTTGGGGTTCAGCCTTTTGGAATAATGTGTTAAGGGTCACATTGATAATGATTGTGAAGTCATAGATCACCAAATACAGGCTGCCACCATCCATCCTCATCGCTGCTTCTGAGTTCTGCCACCACACATTCCAATCTTCTAACCCCATCAACGCCACCTTCCCAACCTTAGCTTCAGGCAAAAGTTATTCTTTTAACCCGCCCTTAATTTTTCACCAAAAACCAAAATCTCTCACGCCACCACAACCTTTGAACTCTTCAAGTACAAGACGGAGAAGAAACCAATTAAAATCCTTATCTCTTCTTCCCCCAAAAGGTTGGATTTTCAACCCCAATCCGACAGAGCATTTAGGAGGATATAAATCACAGTAACTCAGTAACTCAGTAGACATGACCAAATATCTGCACAAGAGATCTATCTACTATAGATATGATCTCCACACTGTCGTTGCCTAGTTGTAAACCTTAGAAGAGTATATTCAATCATGACTTTTGTAAAAAAAAACTTCTAAAATGATAGAGTTTAATAAACTTTTAGTGACTTTCGTAGAGTTGTTCAAAACTTTTAAAAACTTTGTAAGATTATAAAAGTCTATATAAAAAACATTCACAAATTTTTATAAACTTTTTTTACTTTAAAAAACTACAAAAGTCATTGAAATTCTAAATTGAATACATCCTTACAAGCATTCTGATAGTACTAATTCCACGCAATGCGGTCAAAGTAAGAAATACGACTAAGTTAAGGCAAGTCTTTTATTGATCGTGTAGAAGGACCTAATACAATCTAAATGACTATTCCGAGGGCCGACTGACTGCGGTCGGGCAGCTCTGTAAATAGCCTATCGATCGTTCCAAAAGTCCTTCACACTGTTGCCGCCGCGGGTATTTATAGCCACTAGACCGGAGACACAATTCCAGCCGGCCAGCATGTAACCCACGACGTGTCTCCACCCCGCGAGCCCTGCCTGTCAGCACGTAACGTTGCCACGTGCTTCTTCCTAGCTCTCTCATCCAAGGGCCATCGGTCGAGTGTTTGGAGACGTTGGTCGGGAGATGCACCGGTCGGGTCCGACCGGGTTCCTTCAAGAATATTCGATCTGTAAAACTGCATAAATAACAATAAAACACGTAGCATGTCGATCGGGGTATTCCCTACCACATTCAATGATTTCGATTCTTATAATTTTCTTACAAAACATGCATATTATAATATATCATAATATTTTTCTTATTATATAGTTCTTCACCCACATCAACATTCTCAACATTATTATTTTTATTCATAGTGTGGTGAGACTTATATACTGATTACTTATATAGTACTAATAAGCATCAAAAAAAAAAAAAAAAAAAAAAAAAAAAAAAAAAAAAAAAAAAAACTAAAAATTCCATAAGAAATTCATAACAATTTTATACACTAAAATCTATAGTAATAGAATTATTCAAATAAAATATTTTAAAATATAATTACTAGTTACCAGGACTATGTGGTCTAATGGTACCCGGGTTGGATTTCCATTTGGAAGATTATGAGTTCAAGCCTCAGTGGAGGCGTTATTGGTTCTTTGTGTTTCAGTAGGTTGAGAAAGTATATGAACAGATACTACAATGTAATAGAGCCAGTAACTTTCAACAAAAAAAATAATAAAATAATAAAAACAGATAATATATATATATAAGTTATACTTGAATATACTGCTAGGCATCAAGCAAAGAGCTATTATTTGCAATAGCAATTTAAGACTGCGATCAGCAACAAGATGCTACTGATTGCACCCCAAATTCCTGTTGGGAAAAATAGTTCGCTATTCGTAGTATCCTGTTGTTATACATACAGTTAGGCATCAAGCAAAGAGCTATTATTTGCAATAGCAATTTAAGACTGCGATCAGCAACAAGATGCTACTGATTGCACCCCAAATTCCTGTTGGGAAAAATAGTTCGCTATTCGTAGTATCCTGTTGTTATACATACAGTTAGGCATCAAGCAAAGAACTATTATTTGCAATAGCAATTTGGGACTGCGAGCAGCAACAAGGTGCTACTGATTGCACCCCAAATTCCTGTTAGGAACAATAGTTCGCTATTCGTAGTATCCTGTTGTCACACACACACATTACGAATATAAATATAAAGAGTATAAAAATCAAAATATAAAAGCATTTATATAAATATTATAAAATATATAGTAAAATTTGACAATAATAGATGCAAAATTTGATTTGTTAATGTATTTAAGGAGAAAAAAAATTGTTAAATGATGTTTAGAAGTTAGGGAGAAAAGTTTATAGAGAAATTTTAGAAGTTAGGGATAAAAAGTTCATAGAAAAAAAATTAAAAAATCAAAATATACAAGCAATAATTCAAGTTTTTAGAGAAAGATTGTAAAGTTTTGGAGAGAAAAATTTTTAGTAGAGTTTAGGTAAAAAAAAATATAGGATAATAAAGAAAAATAATTTATTAAATTTAGGTATAATGTTTATAAAGTTTAAATAGGTAGAAAAAAAATAGAGTTTAAATAAAAATAGAAAACCTTCAGGGCATGTTTGGTTCATAGAATAGGTCAGGAATGGAATAACATTTCTTGGAATAGACCTATTCCATCGTTTGGTTGGATCATTTTGTCATGGAAATAACATGCCTAGGAATGAACTATTACCTTCGCAAAGGGATCGAATAGCATTTCCTAGGGGGGGCCTTGGTATTAGCTGTTCGTCTCTCCGGCCAGAGAGACGAAGAGACCTTCGTCTCCATGGCTATGGAGACAAAGAACGGCCGGAGACAATTTTGTATCCGGCCGTTCTGTTTTTTTGATTTTTTTTAATTAATTTTGTTTAAAATTAATTTTAAAATTATTTTTATAATCCACAACCTCCACGTCAGCAAAGTATTAGGTAAATAGGTCATTTTAGACCTAATTGCATGAATTTGTGTAGTTCAAAGACCCAATTGTACTTTTTTTGAGTTCGATAGCCTGATTGCAACTTGGTGTGCAGTTCAGTGGTTTATTTGACCCTTATTCCTATTTTTTTTTAATACCACATTACTTTTATTAAAGACTATTTAAAAGTCTTAATCAAATAGCACCCGACTTTTAAAGACTATTTAAAAATCTTGATTGAATACCGTTGACTTTTAAAGGCTTCCAAAAAATTTGAATTAAATATCTCCAAACTTTTAAAGTTAAAAAAAAAAAAAAAAAAATCTTTAAAAGTCAATAAAGTCATGACTATATACACCCACTTAGTCGCTTTCCCCAAAAGTTGCCTATTGAACCAGTAAATTAAATCCATGTGAACAAAATCCTTCTCTTAAAGAAGTAAAGAGGGCTGGTTTCAAAAAAAAAAAAAAAAAAAAAAAAAAAAAAAAAGAAGAGGTAAAGAGGGAAGGAAGGGAGAGAGAACAAAATGGAAGGGCTCCTACCCTTCTGACTTCTTCAAAAATTTGGTCTCTAGAGTTTCTCTCCGATCCTGTATAGAATGAATGAAGAAATTTTTATTTCTTTCTCTTTTCTTAATCAATAAAATTTAGACATATAATAAGAGATTTACTTCTTGAGAATATAATACCTAATGGGTTGAGTTCACATGAAGACCACAATATATAGAGGACTATGTGGACTGATTACGGACATACAACAAATTAGTATCATGCACACAATGGCACACAAGAATACATGTAAACGTCAGGTTTCGAACCCAGGCTCTATTAATTAACAAACATATGCAAACGACATACAAACTGTGACACACGACTACATTAAGCCAAGCACACGACATACAGACTAATGGCACGCGACTACACCAGTCGTCCAGTCTGCACAGCCCTCTATAATATAGTGGTTCTCATTTGAACTTAACTCAATACCTAATTACCCATTCTAGTGCCTAAAACCCACAATCCAACATTCTCCCCTCCTTTGTTATCACAGCTCTCGTCTTCCTCCACTTTCCTCACTCCACCGTCCCAACCATCATCTACCTCCGGCATCGCCCCCAACACCACCAACAGCAAACCCCACAACCTCTAAACTTCGTATTTAACACCCTACGCCCCTCTCTACCATCCAACCACCTCACTATTGCTTCCAGAAACAAAATATAAAAGGGGCTCTCTATTAGGATAATGAGAAAAGAGAAAAGGGGGTGGTTGGTAAATAGGTGATAGCTGTTAACTGATTGGGTTAGTGGACTTGACTAGTTAATAACTTTAGCTGATAGTATAATGATGTTTGATAAATTAGCTGTCAGCTGATAGCTAATTACATGCAAAATGACTTTTTCAAAAAGCTGAACAAAAAAACTGTTTTGAATAACTTTTTGAATTTTAGCATTTTGTAGCAATAAGCTATTACAAAAAGCTAATTAATCAAACACTTAGAGCTAATAGTGATCAAATAAGTCAAAATTGACTGATAAGCTAATTATGTTACCAAATAGGGCCAAAAGCTCTATAATGGCCAAAGGCACCACCAATGACTAAGCCGCCCTCTTAGCAACCCCACATCAATTTTCCAAATTAAAAGAAGAATTAGAAGAAAAAGTGAATTTAAATTGAAGTGTGGAATGTCGATTAAAAAAAAAAAAAAAAAAAACAAACCTAAACAAGGTGCAATTGCTCAGATTATTCTCATGCCAATGAAAATCTCTGAACTGCCAGAACCCATAAACTAGATAGAAGCAGGAGATAGCAATAGTTACCTGCACCATAAGCCGTTAGAAGATGGCCGTGAAATATGTTAGCTGACAACCTAGCAACTAACATCATTAATTCCATGCAATCAACCAGGGCAGAAGCAAACTTAGAAATATCAGCAGACAAGTTTAACAACTTTGAGAATATCTTTTTCTTTGTTTTTTTACCCCTTCGCTTGGACGTGGGGAGGGCAGGAGAGTGCACTCAGAAGTAATTAAGTAAATCAGATGTAATAGAGTACCTTGTATAATATGGAATAAAACTTAGCCTTATTCAAAAGATAGAGCAGTAACTAATTTTTGGAAAAGGTTGCTACATAAGCCAACTTAAATTCTGGAGGGATTGGAATGCTTCTCAATCCAATATAGAAAGAAATACGGTGAAAATTTTACATAGTTTAGAAACATTCTCAATATAAAAGATGCAAATTGAAGATTCTGGTCTTTAAGCAAAGAGATGTTTTTTTGGGGGGGAGGGTTACAATAAAGACGTCATTTGCATTTGTTCCTGGAACTTGGGAAGAATCACCAGTCCAAAACAAAAACAGTGATGGATTTATGAAGGAATCTGCACAATGAATAGGAAAAACATAAAAAACTTTTGTTTGCGAAAGAATTTTTGCATAAAACAAAAAAGTATTGGAAGTTCAAAAAGTTAAATAAAAGTTTTAGTTCATTAGAATCATTAAAAAATAATAATATAATACGTAGAAGGAAATTTAGAAAAACACCAACAAACATTAGCTCAAAGTCTATTCACGATAAAGAAAGTTTAGTTGTAGAAGTCCTCAATTAATTTTTGGTAAAATTACAGAACCATTAGCCATGACACAATGTTGCATCATTAGGGGCTTATCCAATCTAGCATAATCTAATACCTCCAGAGACGGTAAACTGGCTTCAAAACATACACTTACCTTAGCAGAGCAGGGAACATGATGGTCAGTTGGACATGACTTAGGTCATTAGATCCATGAAACAGAACTCATAAAAGGTTCCTCCATACTGAGGAAGAAGTGTGCGTACATCAAACAATTATTAAGAAGACCGACTATGATAAGAAATGGACATGTAAAAGCAGTGGAAATTATGGGGTAACGGGTAACCTAAGATACAAGTCTGTTAAATTCTATTCAACCGACTCTTTTCTTTCATGTTTATTCTTTTCTTATTATATGCTTTTTTTGTTTGGTAAAAAGTACTTGCATGGAAAGAGGTATTATAAATCCTTCAAATCTCTTTGTTTTCTAGCATCCTAGGCAATATTATTGATAACAGTATGCTGAATTATTCAAGGAGAAGGGAAAAAAAAAAAAAAAAAAAAAAAAAAAAAAAAAAAAAAAGCAACAACAACCAGAACTATAATAACCGGTCTGTTTCTTTTAACCAGTAACCATAATAATAATAACAATAACAACAACAACAACAACAACAATAATAATAATAATACAAGTTCTCTATTAACAGAAAATATAACAACAGATTCCATACAAATCATCAAACTATCAGGTCAACTACAAATCTACTAAGCCTTTGGCTTTATTCCCAGTGCAAGATAGTAGATTATGTTTGGTTTTTAGCATGTTCAATGCAAGCTATAGAGTAGCATATAATTTGATTCTTATTATCAGATTGCTCAAATGCATCAAAAACATTCATATGAGTTTAGGGCTCCACCATCTATTTCTACCAAAAATTAAGGCAATATAGGTTATAGATAACTATCCAATTGTATAGAGCAAATATCATAAGACAAACGAATAAACAACATAATAATATGGAGTAATATACCTTCTGCAGTCCTAACGACCACGCCCCATATAGGGAGCACCTCCTTGTGGCCTCACACCTCCATGTCCCATCTGCGGGTTTTGATATCCTCCCTGCATTCCTGGCTGAATTCCATAGCCAGCTGCAGCACCCTGGGCCCCATATCCTGTTGAGTTGTTCATCCCAGGTGGCACTCCCTGAGGATTCACAGGCCCAAGCCCTCCAAGAAAGTTGCCTATCCCAAATCCACCTCCTTGGGTGGCCAACAATGCTGTCAGTGCCTGCCCAAGAACCGGGGCAACTGCAGGATTGAATCCCACAGGTGCAGGACCAGGTGGTGGCCGAATTAAATGCCCCGTTGAAGTAGTTGCACTTCCAACTCCACCAGCTGAATACTTTCCCTTCTTTGCTGTATGCTGATAGTATTGTTGCTGCTTATGATGATGTTGATGTTGAGCTTGAGGTTGACGGAAATTCTTATTTTGCTTTGGACCATCAATTGCCTTAGAGCAATTCAATGGTTGCCCCTCGAAAATCTTATGGGGCTCCTCCAATGCCTTCATTGCACCCTCAGCTGTCTTGTACACAAACAAGCAGAAACCTTTTGGTTTCCCTGATAGCTTATCCAACCCCAATGGTCCCTCCTCAATCTCCCCATACTTAGAAAAGAATGCGAATAGTTTCTGGGGATCAAAATTTGCAGAAACATTGCTAACGAAAATCTTCCTCTGAGTATACTCAGAGACTGGAGGTGTATTAGGAGGTGGCGCAGATCCAGGTCCAGGCCCAGGCCCAGAAGAAGCCAGTTGACACGAGGCCATCCGATTCCCAATCTTCTTCTGCGGCTCTTTCAAAGCTTTCCTAGCTCCACTCCGGTGCTTGAAGAGTATAAATGCATATCCTTTCGACTTCCCGGAGACTTTATCAGTAACGGCCTTGCAGTCCTCGATCTCACCATACTTGCCGAACACATTGGTTAGGGTTTCGGCCGTGGCGTCCCATCCCAGACCGTGCACAAAAATTTTCCGATGCGAGGGGTCTTTATCGGCCCATGCCGTAACATTTTCCATGAAATCTCGATGTTTGGTTACAGCCTCCTGAACAATCAACATCAGCTGGTCCTTCGAGAAGGGTTCCAGAACCTTCTCGAGAGGTTCTTCCTCTAAATCCTCCTCCTCCTCCCCTCCGTTAGCTGTTCTAGCCGGAACGGCGTCGTCAGAGCAATTTCCTTTCCCTTTTTCAGCCCCATTACCATTCAAGTCCTCAACTTCCATCTGCTCCGGCTGCTCTCCCGGACCCTCTCCAACTTCTTTCTTTACTAATACTTGCTCCTTCTCTTCTTGGGCCACTTGATTGGTTGATTCCGGTTCGGGATCAACTTCCGGTTGCGACTGTTCTTGTTCTTCAACTTTGACCTGTTCTTGGACTGGTTCCGGTTGGGGTTGAGGTTCGGGCTGCTGGGAAGCCCGAGACTTTCGCTTCTTGGCCATTGCTAGGCTGAATAATAGAGCTCTCAGATGGGGAAGCTGGCAAGGGTTTCGGAGAAATAAAATCAGGAAAGAGGAAAGCGATATGACGAATGAGCAGCCTGATTTTGCTGTGTACAGTGCGTATACATATATATGAAATTTTAATTTGATAACTTAATAAGTTTCCGGGCCTCTTAAACCTGCCTCAGTTTATAAAGACAAATTTTCAATTAAACTAAATTGCAATTTTGGTCCTCAATATAGGGTCTTATTAATTGCACTTCACAACTTTCAAAATTATTAACTTAGTAACTTAACTATTTAAATTTTATCACTTTTAACAGCTAAAACTCACTAAAAAATTTTAATGATTAAAATAATGAAGATATTTTAATATTTTTGCATTTCATTTCTTTCTCATTCATTCCTTCGCCGGCGAAGAAAATCATCAGTGAACGTCGTGGTGGAGGCCGACAAAGTACTCGCCGGTGAAGACAATGGTCATTGGGGAACGGGACGGTGTTGTACGGCGGGTGCAAAAAAACTAGCTAAATTTGGCTCCAATATTTTCTTGATGTAATTTAGTTGTAATTGAATTGTAATTCAATAAAGACTTTTTTTTTTAATTGAATGAAGGCTTCAATTACAGTGTTTGGTTGGAGAGAATTGCAATTCCCTCATTTTGTTGAATTGTAATTCATGGGGTAACCCCATGAAATGTAATTCAATGCTTTTCGGAAAGAAAAAAGTGTAAGAAAGGACAAAAATACCCTTGTTGATTGTTATTATTATTATTATTACACAAGGACATTTTAGTCTTTATACCACTTTTTCCTTCTCATCCCCATTAATTCTAGGGTGTGTTTGGTTCACACATGAGAATCGGAATCGGAATGGGTATCAAATACTTGGTAATGGTAATGAGTTTTGGTAAAAGTATTTAACATGTTTGGTAGTAGGGTGAAATGGGAATGATTACTAATAGTAGTGCTTGAGAATAATTGAAGCATGTGATCCATCTCAACTAAAAGCCTAAGCTGATAGTTGGATACACATTAATGGATATATACTCACACGCCCCCTCACATGTACGGTGGATTCCAACCAACACGTGGACCGGTAAACCGTAGTCGTTTACGAGTGGCGTTGAGATTCGAACCCTCTGATACCAAATTGAAGCATGTGCTCCATCTCAACTAAAAGCCTAAGCTGATAGTTGGATACACATTAATGGATATATACTCACAAAAATGAATAAGGGAATGAAACCCTTGTTTTATTTGGGTATGGGTTTTTCAATTGATGGGGTATTCGAAACTCATAGTAGTTTTCTAAAAACCTATCAACCAAACAATAACAATTACTTTCATACCCATTCCTATGGGCAAAACCCATCAACCAAACACACCCCTATTCTTCCCTACCAAACAATGTAATTTGAATTCCTACATTATTCCTACCTTGTTCTTTTCCCACCAAATTACAATTCTTTTCCTTCCTCCCAACCAAACACATCGTAAATGTGCAAACCTAGAAAAGTGTAAAAATTACAGATTTTAGTGTTCGCGTTTGCATAGTAAAGTTGGTGATAAATACGAAAATGTTACTACATTTTTTTTTTTAAATCTAATCTGGTGCGTTTAATTTTTTCCAGATGTAAAGTTGTTATTAGTTCTTAGTTTTCTCCTACGTACTTGTTCTCATATGATCACACACACACACACACACACACACACACACACAACACACACACACACACACACACACACACACACACATATATATATATATATATATATAGAGAGAGAGAGAGAGGAAGGTTCAAGTGCGGCAGTGTACTTAGGTGCAGCGGTGCGGTTAATTGTAGGCCATTAGATTAGATAAATCCAACGAATCACATTCATCCAGGCTTTTCCGATATTTTCGCTCACGTTCTCACACTACACGAACTGTAAGGTTAAAGTCGTCATTGGGCACCTGAATATATCAAATCATAGTGCCGTGTGTTTTATGTTCGTTATTGGTGCATTATTAACCTTACTGTGGTGTATTTGATGATTCGTGGTTGTGCCAAGTTCAGGTGCGCCCGCGCCTTCTCATGCGGTCAGTGCGGGTGCACTAATAGTTATACAAATATACACCATCCATGTTAGAAAATGCACACCAAAAAAACATGCACAAATTAGATACGCATCACCAGAACGCACCATTAGGTATGAATAAAAGCATCATACAGTGTTCAGAAATACACCATTAGGGTGGTGAGTTATATGGTGTATTTTTTGGGTGTGTTGTGTATTTTTTGGTGTATTTGTGCATTTCATTGTGGTGCTTTTTCCTAACACTATTGGTGTATTTTGTTAACAATGTTGGTATATTCTGATAAGTGACTGATATAAATGACCACTACAATTACCATAACACCCCCCACTTATCAGGACGCACTTAAATCTTTAAATCTTCAGAAATTAGCCGCTGCCGTTAGATTAAGCAAAATGGACGATGCTGATATAGCCGCACCGCCGCACCTAAAGCCACTGCCGCATTTGAGCGCTAATATATATATATATATATATATATATATATATATATATATATATATATATATATATATATATATATATTGCCTTATGCTTGACAGGTTAAAATTTTTTTTTTTTTGAAGCAAAAACAGAACAATATCATTAATAACTCAAAAGAGAAGCGATACACGGGGGCGGGTAGTCAAACCACGACCCTAGGACAGACGGGGAATCGGTTGCCCGAGCTAGTACATGAGCGACCTGATTCGCTGACCTTTTGATATGGCGAACTCTGATGTTCCCAATATCACTAGCAAGCTTTAAACATTGCTTTACAATGGAACCAACATAAGAAAAATCAACACAACTAGAATTAAAAGCAGTAGAAAAATTTAAGCAATCAGTCTCGACTATTGCATTATTTCTATTTAGACCCTTCAGCCAGGTTAGAGTTCTTTCGACCGCAGTAGCTTCGGCTAGCAAAGGATCATCTAAACACCCCAAGTGGCCGCCATGTGCTGCGATAAAACGCCCTGTATGGTCACGTATCACCGCACCAAAGCCCGCACCGTCTCCAAAGAGGGCAGCGTCAACGTTGCAAGTGATCCATCCGTGCGGCGGTGGGCTCCAGTTGGTTATAGCTGAATCATTTGATCTGTCGGCGTGCGGTGGCGTACGCAGAGATTGCCAGAGTTGTTGCAAAGCACCAGCCTGAGCTCGAAGACTTTGCGTGTGTTTATATTCCGCCTTCCAGATTTGGTCATTCCTCGCATTCCACAAGGTCCAGAACACCGCTGCCATACGAATAGCCTCGTCCAGCATAGTAGTCCCCAAGAGATCCTCCATTAATCCTTGTACTGATCGTCCACGAAGTATGTCGCTATCGTCCCACACCTGTTGTGCCGTGTTGCAGTCGCATAATAAGTGTTCTATTGTCTCGAGCGGATAGCCACAAAAAGTGCAACCTCCACCGATCCAAACTCTACGTACCTTTAGAATCTCTTTGACCGGAAGAATAGCTCTCGCGCACTTCCACAGCAGGTTTTTGACTTTAGGAGGAATCGGAAGCTTCCATAACTTGTGCCAGTGCGTAAAGCCACCAGGTGAGACCGTCTCCTCCTCGTTCGACGTTAGGATCCGGTACCCATGCCTTACCGAGTACAGCCCGCGGATGTCGTCCTTCCACCGCCAAGAATCCGGGTATTGTGGCGAAACCGGTGTTGCCAGAATTCGGGGAACATCGCTCTCGAGGAAAAGATCACGAATTATTTCCGTATCCCAGTCTCCATGTGGCGTTAGTAGCCCGCTGACCTTCGCCTCCTTCAAAGCTTCTGTGCATGGGGTATGCAACTTTGGGTTGGCCAAGTCCGATAACCATGGCCATCCCCAGACTGCAGAATCCAAACCGTTACCAATACGTCGTGCCGTGCCCTTTTTTAGAAGAGGTTGCCCTGCCAAAATACTTCGCCATAAATAGCTCGGATTGTTTCCGAGTTGTGCGTCTAAGAAGTCGCTATGTGGATAGTACTTCGCTTTCAGTATCCGAGCAACAAGAGAGTCCGGGTAGATTAATAATCGCCAGCCCTGTTTTGCCAGTAAAGCCAAATTAAATTCATGAAGTCGTTTAAACCCCATGCCACCTTGTTTCTTTGGGACAGCCAAACGCCTCCAACTCATCCAGTGGATGCCAGATTTCCCGGAACTATTTTCGCCCCACCAATAGCGATTAAACAGTTTTTCAATAGTAGAGCAGAGTCGTTCAGGCAATAGAAAAACAGACATGGTGAATATAGGTAAAGCTTGCGCTATACTTTTTAGTAATACCTCTTTGCCTGCTCTAGAAAGAAGCTTCTGTTGCCAGCCTCCAATTCGTTCACGCACTTTTTGTTCAATAAACTGGAAAGTCCTGGTTTTGTTGCGGCCCAACGCCGAAGGCAATCCCAGGTATTTGCCTAAGTCCGTGGTTTCTTGGACCCCCACGCAATCTGCTACTGTTCGACGGGTAGCGTGATCCGTATTTGAGCTAAACATGGCATTGGACTTTTCGTAGTTGATGACTTGGCCTGAAGCTGCGCTGTACATCTCTAAGCAGTCTTTTATCGTCTGGGCCTCCTCGGATGTAGCTCTGAAAAATAGTAAGCTATCGTCTGCGAAGAATAAGTGTGATACTGATGGAGCACCACGCGCAATGCGGATCCCATGGATGTCACCTCTTGCTTCGGCTTGCTGTAGCAAAATAGAGAGCCCCTCAGCACACAAAATGAAGAGGTAAGGTGACAAAGGGTCGCCCTGTCGGATACCCCGAGTCGGGATTACTGATCCCGCTGGATCCCCGTTTACCTGAATGTTGTAAGTCACAGTAGTGACACACATCATAAGTAGCTCGATCCACCCTTGAGTAAATCCCAAAGCCGCAAGCATCCCCTTTAAAAATCCCCATTCCATCCGGTCGTAGGCCTTGGCCATGTCAAGTTTCAAAGCTGTCCACCCCATTATGCCTCCGGATTTCCGTCTTAAGTAGTGTCCTACTTCCCCTGCGACGATTATGTTGTCCGTTAAAAGCCTGTCTGGGACAAACGCACTTTGAGTCATAGAGACCACACTTTGTAACACTTCTTTTAATCTGTTTGCAAGCATTTTAGCCAGCACCTTGTAAGCTACGTTGCATAACGCAATCAGTCTAAGATCAGAGACTTTTTCAGGCATTTTCTTTTTAGGAATCAGAACAATGTTGGACTCGTTAAGTCCTTGCGGTAGGTTTCTGTTAATTACACAATTGGTAATAAAAATGAACAGATCGTGACCCAAAATAGGCCAGAAATGTTGGAAGAAAGCAGGAGTCATACCATCTGGTCCCGGTGCCTTCTCCGGGGCCATTGAGAAGAGAGCAGTTTTAACTTCTGCCAATGTGAAAAGCAGCTTAAGTGCCTCATTCATGCGTGTTGTTACGCGGCACGGTACTCTCTCAAATATGTCCATGGCCGAGCTCGCTGTCCGGAAGATATTTTCATAGTATTGTAATATCTCCATTTTCATCGCGTCCCCCTGCACCCAACCGCCATCCTCGTTTTTGATTTGCTTCAAAAAATTGCGCCTTCGCCGTGTCGATGCTGACTTGTGGAAGTATTTAGTGTTCAGATCGCCGTGTTGTAGCCACAATTGTTTCGATCGCTGCTTCCAGAAAATCTCCTCCTGGCGCATGATAGTCAGCAATTCTCCTTCAATTAGCATATACTCATTAACAGACTGTTGATCCCGGGCATCTCTGAGAACTTCCAATATGTTGCGTAACTTTTTTGCTTGCGTGCCAAACTTGTTATAATATTCTTTTCCCCATCGACTAAGTTGCCGGCCACATTCAGCAATTCGTTGATGAAACAATTCTCCGCTCGAACGACGCCACACTTGCTCCACGACCTTCCCACACCCTTCGTCAAGAATCCACGCTGACTCAAATTTAAATGCTTTCCGCCCTCCTCGAATATTAAGCATTTCCAGACTAAGGAAAATAGCATTATGGTCAGACGTAAATGTTAGCAAATTTTCAACCTCAGCTTCCTCAAAAATGTCCGACCACTCCGCCGTCGCTACGGCTCTATCAAGCCGCTCCTCGACCCACGCTTCTGTTCCACGGCCCCGTTCCCACGTGAAACGGCTTCCCAGCATGCCAAGATCCATAAGTTGGCAATCTTCCAGAGCATCATTAAAGCCCTCAATAAGAGCCGATGATTGTGGATGTGGCCCTCTTTTTTCTGACTGGCAAGAGATGTCATTGAAGTCACCAATGACGAACCACGGGAGTTGAGACCTATTCTTGAGCTCACGCAAGAAATCCCATGATAGATGTCGTTTAGATTGATCGGGGTTTCCGTAGAAGCCAGTCATCCGCCAATCCGGCTTTCCTGGTAACGAGACCACAGCATCTATATGACTTTCTGAATAGCTAAGAATCGATACCATATTTTTATCCCGCCAGAAGAGTGCTAGACCACCACCCATACCTGTTCTATCCACCGAGAGTAAACCTTCAAATCCCATCCGTATCCTTGTTTCCTCCACTTTATTTGCAGTAGCTTTTGTTTCAATAATAAAAACCAAACTGGGTCGCTTTCTGGAGATAAATCCCAGAAGTTCATGAACTGTCCGGTCGCTACCCAACCCCCGGCAGTTCCAGCATAACGTGCTCATTGGGCAGGGCGAGTCTGTAGGATCAGACCCGCCGAAGATGAGTTTTTTGGATTCTCAGCCATGACAACATCAATTCCCTCCGTACTCCCCGCCCTACGTCTCTTCAGATCGCCTTGTAAACCAGTACTCTCCGCTAAAGCCACTTCTGCACTCGGAGAAGCAACCTGTCCAGGATTTGCCGATGGCGGTGAAACCGGGGGTAGTTCGGCCAGAAGCCATTTCGCACCTACTGGTCGGACCTGTCGCCTTTGCCCAGCTCTCATCCACGGTCCATAGGGGAAAGTGTCCGGCTCCAATCCTTCTTCGTACACCCTCTTACAGAACTTGTCAGAGTGTCCCAGGATCCCGCAGCAAAAACAAAATATACCGAGACGTTCGTATTTAAAGCTTACCCAATGAATTGATCCATCTTTACGGCACAGTTTCATACGCCTCTTCAATGGAGCGTTGACGTCCATACGTACTCTGATGCGGAGAAAACTCCGCCATGTGCCCCCGAAATTGTTTTGATCGGCGGTAATGAATTCCCCGATGTAGTCTCCGATGCGCTGAATGAAGTCCGAGGAGGCATAAATAGTGGGTAGATCATGGATTTGCACCCAAAATGATACCTTGTTGAGAGGGACTTCTTCTGGATTCCCACCAGCAAGCACCTTGTCGCACACGAACATGTGATTCTCAAAGGTCCAGGGGCCATCCTCCATCACGCGGGTCAAATCCTTCAGATGCGGAAACTGGAACACAAAGAGATTATCATCGATCGGTTGGACGCGCACCCCCATCACCGGGCGCCAGACCGAAGCCATCACCTGCTGCATGTGTTCATGTTTGATCGGCCGCTCGGTTAGAAAACGGCCAACGATCTCATGATGATTGATCGGAGCCATTGGGGTCTGGATGTCCGGAGCTTCCAGGCCAGTCTCCTCCTCCGTCGCTAACGACAGAATCGCACAGCCATCTTCAATCGCAGTGATATCCATCGCCTCGGGTTGATGTGGATAAATATAGACACCGGTGTCCCTGGAAACGATCAAGGTTGCAGATCGATCTTGAAACGATAGAATGCCAATCGTCGATAGCACTTCTAGAACCGTGGTGGATAGACCACACACGATTACGAACGCGAACAGATCGTCGATGTGATGATCGAAGAAACACCCGTCTGTGGATAGATTACCAATGAGATAATCGAAAAAGCACCGGAATGTGGATAGATCGTCGATACACGGAGTGGCGGAATGGGGATATGTGGATCGGAAGCAAGCAGTAATGATGTAGAGAACGTAAGCACTGGTATTGAGAGTCATGCATAACCTGCATGTATAATAAAGCCATGCAACGACGTGGAGGAGAACATGATCGCATAGTGGAATGAAAAACGCCATAATGGGTAGGAAACCCTAGAAATCTAGGGAGATACTCTCCAAGAGGGACTCAGAGAGAGGCCACGATCACAATTTGACAGGTTAAAAATTTAATTAGATATGATTATGCATTCCGGTATACCACGTTAGCATGTATGTCAACCTATATAATGTATTGAAAAATCTATAATTTCATGAGTAAAAAAATCTTCTCCTTTACTTTAAATGGTTGACGTGGTATTTTGAGGATAGCTAATCTTTTCTCAAAATTAACTAGTGCAAAGTTAAACAAATAAATAAAAATATTATACTTCTCCTCAAATTATAAATTTTTATCACAAATAACTCTTCTATCCCTAATATTATATTTATAATAAAAAACATCACATTTTTCATCATAAGTATTACTCCGTACATTTTTATCTCATGCATAACGATCAATCAATTTGTCCTTGATTAGTACACTACGTATTACACTTTTTATCATAAGTAATTGTTCAACCCATATTACACTTTGATTTTAAAATATTACATTTTTTCCCAACACACAATTTATTCATAATTAATATTTTATTTTCCGCAAAAATATTAAATTTTCATATTGACCCGCGGATCCTCAAAAACTCACCCAACGATTAATGAAGCATAAGAACAGAAGAATGGATGCCCGATTGGGCAGAAGAGTTATGAGCTAAAATGTGATGAAATGAAGATTCAGACACAGTATATGATTGAATGATGACACTTTGTGGAGGGAGGATGAGAAAAGAAGAATACAGAGACAGATATAATACTGCAAAAGCACCAAGCCTGTCACATACATTTTGAAAATACTTGAAAGGATAATTGAAAACATTTACATGGCCTCTACATGCATACTTGTGATATTCTATACTTTTGAACATTCTGTTTAAGTACACAAGATCATTTGTTTTTTCAGATTCACTTCCAGTCCAAGGGGGGCCCAGAATCCAGATTGAGCTCCTCTCAGAGGCAATGTAACATGATGAGAAACGCGGTGAAGAAAAATCAGTAGTGATAGTAATTTGTCCCGTTGTTGTCCTCGTATGCTGCTGCAGAGCTACTAGAGTTCTGGTTAGATGAGCGGAAAGGCCATAGGAACGAGAAAGGATTTCTTCTTCCCTGGTTCTGGCCATTGCTGTCGGTGCTGCTGTTGCTGTTGCTGCTACCGCTACCGTTGTTGCCATTGCTGGCGTTACTTGATCTCGAAGTCCAATTGGAACGCCCTCTCGCAGAAACATTTGATGGAAGCTCGAGGCGGCAAACAGGGCAGGAGTTGTGCTGGACCAACCATGGCACGATACAATCAGAATGGTAAATGTGGTTGCATGGCATCTGCCTTGCTTCAGACCCCAATTCAAACGTATCTTGACAAACCGGGCAGTGTGAATCAGTATTGAGATGCCTCTCAGTAATCCTGATGGTGGGCATGGCATCAATTGCAGAGCGAGGCGCTGGTGGTGGGCCCTGCCTGCCATTCATACTAAGCTGCTCAATCAATTGTTGCAGTCCAGGTCCCATAAAGAAATCATCAAAATTAGTTCGCCGCTGCCCCCCCATTCTAGAACTGCCATTGAAAAAGTACTCAAAAGCATCATCAGGTGTCATACGAACAGGAGATTGGCCATGAAATATCACCCATGGGCCAGAACCAAAAGACATATTGTTCTCTGGCATCATGCCAGATCTCGACCTAATATCATAACTGGAGTTTCTTCCAGCCATTCTCTGCCTCATAAACGCTTCAAGGGCATCCACTATCCCAAATCTTGGGTCGGGGAAAGGTTCCATAAACCTAGAGTGATGATCATCCTCAATGTTTGATCCAATATGACCCCGTTGTTCTCCACCCCCTACCACCTCATTCAGCTCTTGCACAAAGCCTCCATGGCAGTATGGGCAAAGAATATTAGATCCTCGAGGCTTAACTGGCTGCCTGCATTGGTAGCACCAGTGTGTATATCTCCCACTCGACATCTTCTTCAATAATTACTAAGAAACAAACTTTAAATCTAAACCCCAGCTCCAGAGGTTATCCTGCATCAAAATGCTAAGAATTCAAAAATAACCCACTGATGTAAGTGTACACTTAATTTAAACCCTCCAACTGAACCTCTTTAACGTGTTAACACTGACATCGGTCCAACAGACATTAATACTGAATGCCTGACAAAGGATAATTGAACAAATATAGCAGTGGTACCACACTAACAAGCCCAGACATTTAAAAATTATCTTGAGAGAAAATATTCACAGTTAGAACCAAGGTGCAAAGATAGATAGGATTGGTCGATGAGATTAGAACAATAATTCTGAGAAAGAATTTTATTATTGAACAATCCAATTTACAAAGTACAGGAGGAAGAGATGTATTCATAAGAATACAAAGAGTCTTAGTCAGATAGGAATGATAAAAGGTAGATTCACACTAACACAGTGAGAGGGAGAAGGAATTCTAGTGTGTACTAGAATACAGAGTTCTAATAGATAAAAATCTTAGAAAGAAACAAAGTATCTTTGGTGAATAATGCACAACAAAACCAATTGAAAATATAAAAGTAGTACTCCCTAGTCCCTAACAGAAACTGCACCACCTAAAAGAAAGTTTCATTTCATAAGTAGAGTATAAGATAATTGAGTACCAAACACTGCACGACATTATTATTATTATTTTAAACTTTCATTCACCTGTCTACTGCAAAATTGAAGCACAAGTTAAGGGAAAATTGTGCATATTTCTTCCTTTCAATCATAAAAAAAAAAGGTTAGATGAGATTCATTCTCAAATATAAATAAACAAGGGTAAGATGAGCCATTGCACATTTCATCATCTATCATTCATTTCCAACTAACAGAAATGGAAATCTCAGTGAACTTCAATTTCTACTACTTCACCAGTCATAAATTTTTGAAATTTTTCCAGGAAAAAAAAAAAAACAAGCAAAACTGCAAAATAAACAGTAAATCTGGCTAAGCTTCACATACTACCATCTAAACATTATTCATACGCCCCAGATTTGAAATTAAAAACAAAAGAGTAAACAAAATCAAAGTCAATCCCAACATGCGATACAACCTGTGGAAGTAGAATCAGGCAACACCAAGAGGAGATCATACAAACAATCAAAATTACCTAAAAATAAAAGCTTGATTGTTCTGTTGAATTGAGCTGTTGAGGAGCATAATTGAAAGGAATAAAGAGCAGAAATGAGAAGACATGGAAAAGAATTGGAAAGAATATTGAGCTGCTTACCTGAGAGAATCGGGCGTAGAGAAGGGGGTTGAAGTGGGAGGGAGAGTGGGGTTCGGAGAAAGGAGATGATATATTTGCGGTTCGAGATATTACCTCAGCCGTCCTAAAAGGAAATTGGAAAGCATTTACTGTCTTTATTCTATGGAATATTGTACGGAGTAATTTAAAAGATTACTCTCTTTTGCAGTTTACTTTTTACCAAAAGGGTAAATTTTTGTAAGAATTATGAAAAACTATTACTTCTGGCCACCAGGTTTAACTTATTTTTAATTTTAGTGTGCGTTGGGAAATGAGTTTTAGACACTATGGCTCTGTTTGGCAACGCTAAGCTAGGAGCTTATAGCTTATTTTAAGCTACTAATAAGCTATAAGCTCTGTTTGGTAATGTTCCCAAAACAAGCTCCTAGCTTAAAATAAGAGCTTATTTTGGAACGCTACTTTAGGTAGCGTTTCAAAATAAGCTCCTAGCTTCCTAACTTTTTTTCCATCTTTACTCTTATTATTTTAAAGTAATGACATGTTTTAACCTTATGAATTAAAACCCTTTCTCTTCCCCTATCTCAACTTTCACGTCAATCCCTTCCTTAGTCTTGTTTCCTGCTAAACAATTATGTTGAAACTTTAGCTTATTATTATTATTATTATTATTATTATTATTATTATTATTGTTGTTGTTGTTGTTGTTGTTGTTGCTATTGTTGTTGTTGTTGTTGTTGTTATTATTATTATTATTATTATTATTTTAAAATTAGCAATATGGCTTCAATCTCAAATTGAACAAGAGCCGTCAACGAAAATTTAAGTCACACCTCTAATATCTCAAATTCAAGTAGTAATTCCTCCATCAAAGAAAATTTAAGTCACACCTCTATGGAGATGAAGGAGATTCGCAACAATATTGCTACTTCATTATGGGATGCTAGATCATGATCATGCTAATAGTTTTATTTTAAAAAGTGTTTACTTTTTTTGGAAGACGAAATGTTAAATTTTAATATGTAAACAAATTAATTTAAATTTTATAAAGATGTCCTTTTTAGTCTTTTTACATTTATCAGCTTATCAAAAAGCTAATTTTACCAAACACTTTCAATCATAACAGCTAGCTTAACAGCTCTTCAATTTTCAGCTCCGAGCTTATAGCTTTTCAACTTTCAGCTCCTTTTCAGCTATCAGCTCCTAGCTTATAGCTTTTCAGCTAGATTTGCCAAACAGAACATATGAATCAAAATCAAAATCAAAATTATAGTTAGCGTTTAATATATAACTTTTTAAAACACATAAATTTAATTACATCTTCAATTAAAAATGTCATTTCCTAATTAAAAAAATGTATCATTCCATCTTATTGGTAATATGATTTTTATGTTTGGATTAGTGTTTTTAGATTTTTGTTTTGATATGTTTTTTTTTGTTCATATTAGTGCTTTGGATGTCTTTGAATTTTGAGTAAATACCTAAAATGGTCCCTCGACTATAGCTAAATTCACAAATTGGTCATCGACTTTCAATTTCAACCAATTAAGTCCTTAACTTTGCAATTTTGACACGAATTGGTCCTCCATCTATTTGACCGTTTGTTGACCGCGATCTTTGAGGATATATATGTAGTTTCACGTGCAAAGCTCAAGAGAACGCTCTTAGAGGTGACATCGTTGTTTCGAGGGGGAAGTGCATCTCCGCTTGCTGCTTGGGGATCACGAGCCGGTTCAGCTTAGAGAACGCTCTTGGAGGTGACAACGCTGTTTCGGAGGGGGGAAGTGCTTCTCCGCTTGCTACTTGGGGATCCCGAGCCGGTTCAGCTTGCCTACATCGCTTGGAGTCACGACTTTCTCGAAGAGCCACTCCAGGGACTTCGGCGATCTATCTATCAAAAGCTATAATCTCTCCGGCATGGGGTGCAGCGCCGACAGTGGATTCAAATGTAACAGTGCGGTCTAGAAATGCAATCGAAACCTTAAAAAATCGACGATGGACCATGAAATTACATATATATCCTAAAAAAGCGCAGTCAACAAACGGTCAAATACACAAAGGACCAAATTGTGTTAAAATTGCAAACTTAAGGACTTAATTGGTTGAAATTAAAAGTCGGGGATCAATTTGTGAATTTAGCTATAGTCGAGTGACCATTTTAGGTATTTACTCTTGAATTTTTATTTTTTGTTTTTTGTTTTGTTTTTTGTTTTTTGTTTTGTTTTTTTATATTTTTAAAACCTTTATTCACATTATAAGGTCATACATAACCAAACATCAATATTAACAATCATTCCAATTTCACCTTACTATCAACACATGCAAAATAATTTCACCAAAATCCATACTATTACCAATTATTTGATTCTCCCGATTTTGATTTCCATGTGCGAACAAAACACCTACATCCTTAGTCTTCAATTTTTCTTTTTAAATTTAAGTGCACGTTTCTTAAAATTTTATCCATTTTTTGTCCATCCAGCCAAATAACCAACAAAATTGGGCAAATTATGTTGTGAACTCGGATCCAAAGCAAAACGACGTCGTCTGAATTTTTTTTTTTTTTTAAATTACTTCCTTCCTTGCCGTTAACTTGCCGTTTGTCATCAGAATTTGTTTCTCTATATTCACAATTTTAGAACTCTATATTCACAATTTCATAACTCTATATTCACAATTAAAGAACTCTATATTCAATAGTATAACACAATTTTTGAATATATACTTACAATTTCATAACTCTATATTCACAATTAAAGAACTCTATATTCAACAGTATAACACAACTTTTGAATCTATATTCACAATTTTTGAACTTTATATTCACAATTTTTGAACTCTATATTAAAAAATATATATATCATTGACTAAGGAAATGGTGACACTAACAATACCGTTATTCTAGACGCGCGTTTTGGACTTTGGTCCACCTTGCAAGTGGACTCGAGTCCATGACATAACAATTGACAAAATTGTCACATACGTGCCACATGCTCGGATTTTTAGAGAAGAATTGTCATTTTATTTTATTTTTCAATCAAACAAAATAAAAATATTTATGTTTTTCACTTTTGATGCTACGTCTTTTATGTTATTTTCAATTTTAGTCTATAATTTTTCAATTTTGTAAATTATCATACATTACTTTCAAAATGCATTGTCATGTTAATATATGACTACCTAGAAATTAAGGATCACTCCAAGAATGTGATCATCAATGGCAACAACTTGATTTCTTTGTCAAAGCTTGATCTCCATTAATTATTGAGGGCATGGACATTTTCTTTTGTTCATTATTGAAGTTCTTGGACGGGTACGAATTCTTCAGTCATTGAATATCATAACTATTACTCTATCGCAGAATTGTGTTATCATATGAAGAACATCGATTATGATTTATAGTTGTCGTCCAATCCAAAGTCGAGTTAGCATTACCTATGCAAGTGATGTGGTTTGTTCTGGTTGACTCTACAAATTAACACACTGATTTTCTAAACACGTTGAAAGGAAATTGAAAATACTACATGTACTTTCACTTTTTACTCCCAATTTCTACTCTCTCATAAATTATCAATGTAGACACTTTTTCTGAGATTCACATGATAAAAATATCTTATTATTATTTACCACAAGATACAGTAAAAGTGAGGGGATAGAATTTGAAATTACATGTAATAAAACACTAAAAAATACGGAGTATATGTCTAAACTTTAACCATGCATGCAAATATGATGTCAGTGTTGATTTGTAGTTGTGTGCACGTGCATGAACTCTTAAATGAAACCAGTTATTACTGGACTTGAAAATCATGTTTTAATTTGAAAGCAAGCATATATATATATATATATATATATATATATATATATATATATATATATTATTTGGAACTACTCTGCCTAACCTAATGATTACTTTTAAATTTCAAAGAAGACAATTTCTTCTAATTGTCTCATATGTAATGACGATTAACAAAAGTTATGATTAATCTCTTTCTCATGTTGAGCTATTTTTATTTACGAAACTAATTTTCAGTCACAAACAAAATGATGATCTTGTTGTTTCAAGAATCGTCAATCTAAATAATTTGAAAGTCGTAAATTGTGATAAAGGAGAGAGTGAATTCCATTTTTGGTCCTAGTGTTATAGGGGCTTTTTCAATTTTAGTCCATCATAATTATTTTTGTCACATTGCGTCCACTATTATTAAAAATGTTCCAATTTTAATCCATTTTCAGATTTTTCATGGACTAAAATTGAAACACTTTTAATAATAGTGGACGCAATGTGGCAAAAATAATTATGATGGACTAAAATTGGAATAACCCCTATAACAGTAAGACCAAAAATGAAATTCACTCTAAAGGAGAACTAATAAAGTAACTCAACACTAACCACGATATACAAGAAAGTTTTTCATCATTTATAATCTATATTTGACATTGTTCTCATATAATCAACCAATAAAGTAACTCAACACTAACCACGATATAAAAGAAAATTTTTCATCATTTATAATCTATAATTTGACATTGTTCTCATATAATCAACCATTATACTTACAAACATCTTTTTTTAAAAAAATTATTTTTTCAATTTAGTTAATTCAAATTCATAATAACATAATCTTTTGTTTGCATCACCTAGGTAAATTAGTGAATGAATTATAACACAATACATCACATGAAACTTTTATCCTTAATACGGAGTAATAATTATGCCATTTTTTAAAAATAAAAAATTCTCAAATAGTATGATTTGTAGTTAGTGTCAAACCATTAGTTACAAATTTAATCAATCTTACCATGTGAAAACCCAGCAAATTGAAAAATGTAGATAATGGGTAAATACGCATAAAGGACTGACCCGTATAGCCGGTCCGTCAAGAAGTCACCCAACCAGTTCGTCATAAACTCATAGTCATTAACTCGACGGGACTAAACCGCTTGTGATCAATCGTACCGCTCGTACCGATAGGCCTCGTGACAAAAGAAGATGTTCTCGGATCACCCTTGGAATCCCCTCGACGGAAAGCCACCCGGTCGGTCTACCGTAGGTTGACCGGGTGGCTTATAATGTGATGCAGCCTGCATAGCCGAAAACATAACTTATACGACAAGTTATAGGGGCCAACTTGCACCTGCAGAGCGGCGGCTGACAACTTGTAGAAATAACAATTCTGCCTCCTCGATCAGTCAACCTACGCATAGTTGCAGAGCAACCGTTTGACCAAGCCTACGAGAAGACGCCACGTCAAGCCACTTTCAGCATGTGCATTCAATGCGTAGACCGACTTAGTTAGTATAAGTTGGAGGGTCTCTCCCTCATTTCTCATCTTCATCTCATTACAACCACTTTCTACTACTTGTAATCTTCACTCTGTAATAGCAACCTGCTCATAAATTGCACTCTACAATTTCAATATGCATTATTTGTAGCAACCCGGCCTACTCATAAATTGCACTCTGCACCATGTGTAGCAACCTGCTCATAAATTGCACTCTACAATTGCAATCTACACCATTTGTAGCAACCCGCTTATAACCGCTTCAAAATCGTTAACCGAATCAGACACATAAAATGAGACTGGAGTTTTAAAATTCATATTTGATTTATCAAAAGTGTACTATGTGATGTCATTTTAATCAAAGACAGCTCTTCAATACACTATTCGTGTATCAAATATTAATTGTTAATCTAACCAGCTTGGTTGGTGTGAGTGGCCATGCACTCTCACCCCTTAGAAGATGTCGGGAGTTTGAACCCCCCTCGTATGGAAAAAACCAACCTGGCCAGCACTTTCCCCTTAATTAGGTTGTCCCGGTGCGAATGGGGATTAGTCTGAGTATGATATAGGCTTAAAGGTGTCTAGGGACAACCCAAATACCCAGAGTACGGGCTTACGTGCTTATCGATCCACATCGAAAAGCAACAAAATGCAACAAAGGTAAATGATATGGATTGGGTCTAATGTCTGCAACAAAGGTAAATTATATGAATTGGGTCTAATGTCTATCTTGAGGGAAACTAAAGTATAAAAGTAGTTTTATCCCTTGTGAATGGAGTATTTGCACTAAAGTACCCCCGTGCCACTCCCGTGATCTACATCTACTTGAGTGTACTAACTACTAACCCGCAAGTTCTCTACTCCCGTAGTTTACAAGCAAAGCTAGCCCATAAAGAACCTAAGCAATCCATCTTACTCACACTCAAGTTAATCTTACAACTTGTGAGAGATTACACTAAGGCAATCTAAAGACTAATCCCTAAATTCATACCCGCTCCCATAGTGTACAAACCTAAAGACTAATCCCTAAATTCCTACCCGCTCCCACAGACTAATCCCTAAATTCCTACCCGCTCCCACAGTGTACAAACCTAAGGTTAGCCAAGAAGTCCCCCCAAGAAGAGTGTTCTAGCTATGCCCGATTCCCATCAAAACACAACATAACAAATAAGCATGTAATTTAGGCCTTTAATCACACACATCAACAATATATATTGCACACAACAACTTTTAGGAGCTAAACTAACCATTCATAATACATTGAAGAACAAACATCAAAATAGACATAAACATAATCCATAATCCAAATATAAATATATTAAGGACAAGCATCTTCATTACACAAAATAGATACAAGAGTAAATCAAGATGAAATTAAGGAAAGAAGGGAAAATGCTCATTGCTTTTTCATCGATCTAACGGTTGAAACTTAGAATCTTGCGTCCTCCCTCTTCTTATTACAAAACAATCCTCTCTTGGAGGCAACATTTTGGAAGGAGAAGAAGGGATTGTAGAGAGAAATGGGATGGGAGCTGCCAAAGTTAGAAGAATGGAGAAAGAGGAGTATTTATAGTTGAACAAAAGAAGGGGCAAAAAAAGATACTCCCTCCGTCCCATTTTATGTGTTTGATTCGGTTAATGAGCTTTGATTGAAATTATTTTTAATTCTTTTTTTTTTTTGAAAATAAATTATTTTTAATTCAATTTTTCATACTATTAAGTTTAGTATTAATATACAAAATTTATATATTTAGAAACTACACTAAAAGTAATATTAAACACAAAAAATCAAATTTAAAAATAAGTAAAAAAAATACTAAAGAAAATAAACAAAGAATAAAGAGTTAGTTTGACCAATGAATAGTAAGTAGGACATATAAAATGGAACAGAGGGAGCCATTTTTTGCTAGCATGAATTGCAGATCTGGAGGGGCTCGATGCATCGAGCAATTATAGAATGTAAAATGAAGCATTCTGCCAACTCTCGACGCGTCGATAATCCTCTGTGACACAAGTCTGGTTTGTAGGATGATTTTGACCCTTTTACCTTCAAAATTAGACTTTGAGGTCTTCATAAGAGTTGTAGCCCTTCAATTTTTCTTTTCAATGGCCTAAGAATCACGTAAATCAGACATTCCTAGACTAGGATATAATCAAAATACTAAGATGTCAACATATTGAGCGGGAATTACAACTCTATGGTCTTTTGCTCCATTTTTACTTGTTTTGTTATAGTGATAAAATCCATTGAAAGTACCACTCTTTGACGCCCTTTGAATTGTTGTAAAAATAGCTTATAATGGCATAACATGACATACTAAGTGTGTTTGTGGTACAATTATTAGTTGGGTTCACTTTTGATTTGGGTCGAGTCAAAGTGGATTCAGGTTCTTCATAGTGAGATGAAGATATTGATATATTTGTACGCTCAAAATGAATAATGGGTGAATGAGAAATTGATTCTCAAAGTAGACCCATTTGAGTTGGAAAAATGAAGGAAAAAGTAGCATTTGTCCCACATTGGTTTGAGAAGTGGGTTTGCACCACTATTTATACAGGAGCCTTTCTAAAACTTATTGAATTGTATAGCATAGAGACTCTCTCTTGTGTGCAAGGGGAGGGGGAGAGTGCAAATCAAATCTTAAAAAGACTTGTGTATGTTAGCCTTGCACGTTCAGTTTTTTCCAACACAGAAGCCACACGAGTTGACAAGGCAGAATCATGGCCTACGATTCGTATTTCCGTTTTCCGTATAATTTTTTCCAACACAGAAGCCACACGAATTGAAAAGGCAGAATCATGGCCTATACCATGGATTTGGAAGCACGAGACGATTCATCCTCGCCAACCGCACGAATTGATGGGTTCGGCCTATCAACAGCACGAGACGATTTGTCCTCTCGTCTCCTGTTGCACCGTTGAGCTTTAATTCGTCAGTTTCAGAATTAATGTTGAATTAATTCCAATTTTAAATTTCGAATTGAAGCTCAGTTAGTGGTATGCTGTTATAGGAGTTGCAAAGCTGGTTTTAATTGCCATGTTGAAGGCTATTTACCTCCTCAACCCTATATAAACAGTGGTAGAGCAGCAGGTTTTTTACACACACCAGAAAATCTTGTTTTCTCTCTCGAAACTCTACTTCTGCTCCATTCTTGCCTACTGTATTATTGCTTTGCTTTTGTTCGTTGGTTTCATTCGTTTGGATGCTCAAATGTTGAACTGTAGTATGTTTTATCCTGGAAAACCTATGCTGCAACGCTCCTAGCACTTTTGGAAAATACCGAAGTAGCAAATAAGGTTTTAAGGAAAGAGTGATTCGCTCGACTCGTGCTATCCACCTACACTATACCCACCATATATCCATTTGTCCTTCCTAGTTTTTCCATAAAATAATAATCATTTTTCTGTAGGATTGTTATTGGGGTTTTCCAACCTTATTTCCTACCTGAAGTATTTTAACCACCTCTTTAGCTTCAATTTGACTCCCGTTGACTCGAGATTCATTTAAAATATCTCGAAAGACGTAAAAATATTTTCAATTCAACAATTTATGCACCTAATGATACAAACAAATGAAGTAGGACATATTTTGCATAAAGCCAAAAATATTTATCAATCAAAATTGGTTTATATATGGGGTAGAAGTCTGGACATAAATACACTTATTAGTAACCATAAAGTTTCAAGTTCAACTTCATGTAGGAGTTATTTATTGACTTTCTTGGTTTGAACCGACCAACTATGTGCAACTTAGATTGGTTAATCTTTTTGTAGTATTTTGTTAGCTAATGTAAAAAGGTGAGTTTCAGACATAGTGCACATTCAAATAGTGATTGTAAACTTTATCGTAAATATAAAAAACATAAATGGGCTTCTAATAATTAATGTACAATGAATTGTGTTAATTAATGTTTTATTACTAGTTATTAGCATGTAAAATGATTTATAATTTTATAAGGATATGACTGTATTTTATTTTTATTTGAATATTTTAAAGTGTTTTTTTTTTTTTTTTTTTTTTTTTGCAAACAACATTCAGTATCCTCACTACTGTGAGACTAATTCAAATTCGATCAGAGTCATACTCACAAAGTTTAATAAGAAAGGTTAATCTAGAACTCTTTAACATAAAGCTTTTTTTTTTTTTTTTTTTTTTTTTTTTTACAATAGTCAAACTTTAACCTTACAAGTATATATCAACCATAGAAGAATTAAAAATTAAAACGTAAGTATTATTGTTATTACTATTACTACTACATTTGCATATGCAATGCAATTAGAATGGGAGTAGTGGAGTACATAGTAATATGTTTTAAATTTTACATATAAGTAATTGTTATAAATTAAACTAATGATCAAATTAAAGTAATTTTTCGAATTAAATAAATGTAATTTACTAATCTAAAACGTTTTAAATTTTAGCGAAATGAATCTGATATGATAATGTAAATATCTAATCCGTTATTTATGATGTCAAAATGTTAAGATTAATGTAGTAGGTAAGATGGGTGAACCATCCACAAGATTTCTTGTAAACTTAACATCAAATTAATCAAAACCATACCCTATGAATTTAAGATGGGTGGGGCTCTCTGTAAACCGTGTGAGGTCAGTGGTCATTAGTACAATTTCCGTGAACTGATGGGCCGAAATTAAGATGTTTGTCACAATCAAACCAAGTCGGTCAGATTGACAAATTATTGTGTGAATCACAGTCTAAAATGATATTGTTGAATATTATACGTAAAAATAATGTATATTATTTGTTAGAATAATGTATATTATGTGTTAGAATAATGTACATTACGTGGTAGAATAATGAAACTTATTAAGTAATATAATGTACATTATATTTTAGAATAATGTACATTATGAGTTATAAAAATGTATATTGCAACGAGTCGTGTGAAAAAAAAAAAAACAAATTTACACAGAACAGCGTCGTTTTGTCGAGTGTATTTGTTTTTCTCTCATCTACTTCTCTCATATTTGCTTTTCTTCTCAACCTCTCCCATGTTCATTTTGTCAAGTGTATTCTCAAAATTTTATCGACCATGGACCAATCGACATATAGAAGCAACCAGAATTCAATAACTGTGTGGAGCATTCATTTTCATTTAAGATCTGTTTGGAAACCCGGAAAATGATTGGAAATCATTTTCAAGGTTTTTGGTGTTTGGCTAGGTTGGAAAATGAGTGGTCAAAGGAAAATGACGCCAAGTCAATGGAAAATGACTTCCCCTTTTTTTGGGGGAAGTCATTTTCCATTCCGGAAAATCACCCATCTCATTTCTCTACCCGCTGTTGAGGAAGACGGAGCGAGGAAGAAACCCATCCACTACGTCGATCGGGCTGTCGCCGCCGCTGCTCTACCCTCACCGCCCCTGCGTCCGCCGTCCGGTCACCGCCGCTACCACCGAATCTGCTTCAAGGGAGACGGAGGTTCAAGGGCTACTTCACTGCGTCCACACTGGAAATCAGTTTCACCATTTCTGTAGGTGAATACAGAGAGCTGAAATTTCTGAGGGAGACGGAGATTCAAGGGTTTCTTGCTCTATTGAATACAGAGAGCTGTAAATTTGCAAATTTTTTTTTTTTTTTGTTTTTTTCGTTTGGTTGAGCTTCTCTACGTCGAAATTCTTCAACCCATCGCCCATTCTGTAGACTAAATCGACGAACCCTAGGATTTCAGCTTTTCCTCGTACAACTGCAAGACTAGCGGAGGTTTCTTGAACAAAATTGCCAAGTTTTATCTGAATGAATTTGAGATCTGATGCACTTGTGCACTTATATTCTATCTAATTGTATGTTTTTAATATTCCATTGATGTTTGTGATTTTTTTTTTTTTTTAGTGTTGACACTTAAATTTTGATAAATATTAATTATTTAGTATTCGACCGGGTTTCACAACAGCTACCCAATATTCAGGGGATCCTTTTCCCGAACCCATACGTGTTTCCGCGGGTCGTATAGTTTGAAATATTTTGGATAATATTGATATTATCTAATTTGTTAATTAGATAATATCAAAAGAGTTTGAACCTATCAAAACTCTTCTACCTCAGCTATAAATATGAGCTCTCATTTCTATGTAATCACAGATCCTAGGAAAAATCATAGAAAGAACTTTGAAGCTTATTATTCAGAGATCACAATAAAAATGTGATCCTGAAAGCAAAAGCCCCTCCTCCTCCATATGTTGATGCATGTTGATCCAAACCTCTATTGAACAATAGTTATGCTGTGCAACCGAATGCACCATGTGCATGGTGCATACGATGCAAAACGACGTCGTTTTGACTAAAAACGCGCGTCCCACTTGAAAAAAAAAATCTGGTTCGATTCTCGGCAATAGCATTATTGTGGATATATAGTTATGAATTTCTGGATATATAGTTATGAATTTATGGATATTTAGTTCATTCATTCACTGTGGATATATAGTTATGAATTTATGGATATATAGTTATGAATTTCTGGATATATAGTTATGAATTTATGGATATTTAGTTCATTCATTGTGGATATTTAGTTCAATCATTGTGGATATTTAGTTCATTCATTGGGGATATTTAGTTCATTCATTGTGAATTTTTACTTCATTCATTCACTGTGGATATATAGTTATGAATTTGTGGATATATAGTTATGAATTTGTGGATATATAGTTATGAATTTATGGATATATAGTTATGAATTTATGGATATATAGAAATGCTATTGCCAGGAATCGAACCTGATTTCTTTTTTAAGTGGGACGCGCGTTTTTTAACCAAAATGACGTCGTTTTGCATCGTATGCACCATGCGCATGGTGCATTCGGTTGCACAGCATAATTTGCGTCTATTGAAGATCAAGTCATTTGAACCCGGAGGCCCTTCAAGAAGAACAAGCTATATATACAAGCCCTTCTTTGAAGATCAAGCCACTTGAAACCCGGAGGCCCTTCAATGGTGGAGTGTTCAAGACATCAATTGAAGAATCAGAGGATCATCCAGAGATTTGTACCCACACCGCATTGATTTATACTACTGTAACTAGAATTTTGAATATTACTATATTTTATTCAATTTTCTTTGTTCATATTGAGTTTTGCATTTTTCTACTCATTTTCTGGAAAATGAACCAAACACACAAAGACCGTTTTCTGTTATGTAGCCAAACACCGGAAAAGAAAATGTTTTCTGGAAAATGACTCATTTTCCAGAAGTCATTTTTCTGCTTTACAAACGGACCCTTAATACACATTGTAGTTTCATTGCAATACCACTAGAATATTATTCTAATTCAACTACAGTTTCATTTGACAATATACACTTAATATGTGAGACATGTTATTCAGTTTCATTTTATACACATTGTAATTTCATTACAGCACCACTAAAGTATCTTTCTAATTTAACTATAATTTCATTTGACAATATACATTCAATATGTGAGAGTGTGAGACATGTTATTCAATTTAATTTTATACACATTGTAATTTCATTATAACACCACTAAAATATTTTAATTCAACTACAATTTCATTTGATAATATACACTCAATATGTGAGACATGTTATTTGGTTTTATTTTTATACACATTATAATTTCACAGTTTCATTTGACAATATACACTCAATATATGTGACTTGTTATTCAGTTCCATTTTATACACATTGTAGTTTCATTACAACACTACTAAAGTATCATTATAATTCAACTACAATTTCATTTGACAATGTGCACTCAATATGTGAGACCTACTATTAAGTTCTATTATACACATTGTAATTTCATTTTATCATAAGCATATCGTAGACACATAATTAGTTGAATGTAACAAATGTTATTTCTTTTCATTAAAAGAAACAACACTATTTTGAATTATGATCCACGGTATAATAATAGGCACAAAGATACAAATTCCACTCTCTGAAAGCGGTCTATTGGCCTTCTTGATTTGGACCAACCAGTTATGAGGTATATAGACTCGATTAACTCATGGATCCTTTGCCAGCTAAGATCACGAGACGGAATTTACTCCGTGCCCACTCTTAAATAGTTCTTGCGAATTTCTCTCATTACTCAAAAAAAGAAATTAAGATGCTTTGGTTGTTAAGATGTTTGGATAATCTGACAGAGATAATAATTGTAGTCCGATCCATTGTCATCCTCCTGGATTGGATTCTTGCATCAGTTCCAGTACAGTCACAGTCCTGATTGATGAGTCATTTCAGTCATGAGGTCTTCATTAACAACCAGGCTCGTCAATGCCCATGAGAAAATGTTGGTTACTGGATGGCGGGGAGGTGTTTGATAAAATGCCCATGAGAAAATGTTGGTTATTATTTGATACTGAAGCAACATGAGAAGTTGGGATTACTTTTCTGCCAAAATTGCACAGAAAACACCTAGAAAAGGTACACTTGTTCATTTCTTGCCCCATGCCAAAATTGTATTTTATGGTACTAGCTGAATAGAGCATCATCAACTGTAATGTAAACATTTTATTAGAAAATTAACAATAAAATTAATATTTACAAATTATGACACTATATATAAGACCATGTAGTAGCTCAGTATTCAAAACTACCACATTAACATGATTATTTCTTTTCCTGAAACACACATTCCATTGAGTCACAGTGCAGGAAACTACTACTGTTAGCCTTGAGGGAGGAGCTGGAGAGACATAAATATTCTCAGTTTTCAACTAATTAATCCTTGTTCGTCACCCGTGCTTCCATTTCTAAACTCCCCAACAGGTTCTTCCATTTCATAGTCCAAAACATTTCGAGCATGATTTCAGATAAACTTACAACGGGATAATACTCAGTTGTGAGAGGGAGGAGTTCATTTTCACGAGGTTTACATGAAAGCCGTATACATATGGAGAGAAACCAACGAGCTTATATACCATCAGCTTTTTGATAAGAACCGTCCTAGGATTCACAGACTACAGACCTTCACGGGAAAAAGCGATGTGTCAGAATGAGCTTGTTCTTCGAAGCTGATATCTCGTTTCAGAAGATACGTCGGATAACATCTTGTCCAATTCCTGCAAAGGGACACATCTTATGGTAAGGATAAGCATGAAGATATAGAGATTAAATCCCAAGATACCACCATTTACGTATTAGCTATATAGACAAGGTTCTAAATATAGCCATCTGTTATAGGCCAGGATATCTAGGATCGCGTCACAGGCTTAGAAACTTAGGAATAAAAACGAAGCTTTTCTGGAGTGCTCCTTATCCCCAAATGAAGCGTTTTTTTGGAGTGCTTCTTCTCCCCAAGTGAAGCGTTTTTATGGAGTGCTTCTTCTCCCCAAATGAAGCGTTTTTATGGAGTGCTTCTTCTCCCCCAATCTTCCATTTAATAGGAAGCCAAAATACAAATTTCCCAGATGTCCCCCTTCTTCAAATACATAGATAACTACTTATACACATAATAAAACTACCCACTACCTTAAAGTGCTCTAACTACCTAGGAAGTGGTCATCCCACTACTACTACTACAATAACTAGGAAGTGGTCATATAAACAGGTATTCATATAATATTCATCCAAAGAGAGGAAACGGGACATGAATTGTAATCAAGGAATGTACTAATATCACTGTCCACGAAAATAAGGCTAAAACATGATTTAGGTAAACACAATAGAAGCTAAGCCACTTGAATTGATGAATGATGAATACCTTCTCTTTCTTAAGCTTCATGTTTTCCTCTTCGAGACGTGAAACCTTGTTTACCAGTTCATTGTGGTAGGCCTACAAGGTGTAAACAACTCTATTGATGTTACAAGCTAAACAATCTTTCGGGGAAAAAGAAGAGAATATTAAACTATTAAAGCTTGCCTGTTTTCTGGCTCGTGAACGTGCAGCGGACTCTCTATTCTTGATCTTTCTCCTTAACCTTCTATCAACGGTCCTATCGATCTCGGAAGCATCCCTCTTCCAGCCCGACGTTGGAGTATCTGAAAGTGCTTCGATTGAAGGAGACGGGGATAGGCCTAGTTGTGGAGTAACGTTCTGTGGGGTCATTGCAGGGCCTTGAGAAGAATCGACAACGAAAAGCCCAGCTTTTACCAAGAAGTCTTCCAAAGTCGTCTCTCCAAGAGTTGGTTCTCTCTCATCGGTGTTCATTTCCTCGAGATTCCTCATCTTCTGCCCTTGCTGGATATCTTTCCACACTTCATCAACCGTCTTCCCACTAAACGCTTGTGTGAGTGAGAAGCTAGCCTGGCGTTGAAGCGAAGTAGAATACGCATTGTTGACCACCGGCCCGGAAGATTGATTCGCCTCTGTAGCCCATATGCTCGTCAGCAACTCATCGAGATTCATGCTACCGAGAGGCTTCCCCAAGTTCCCCAACAGGCTCTCCACCTCATCGAGTGTGAGGCTAAACCACGAGTTTTGCCTGCCTAGCGGCTGTAAATGAGACTGTTGACCACAACCATGAGAATTCATGGTCTGAATCCCCATTCATCAAAAACTTCGACCTTAACCCTTATCGATCGAAGGACCTAAAAGTTGCAACATGATATTCGGGACGTCAGAAACTTATGAAGTTAGTGTGTGGGGGTGTGATCAAACTCATTTTCTTTCCCACAGAAAGGAGGGATTTTTTGCTCATTACAATTATCTTTGGTAGATAGATACACTCTATCTCTAAGAAACCCACAATACAGGATCAATCTAACAAACATCTACAGGGCATCAACATATAATCATTCATACACACAAGATACCCCAGATAGAAACAACAATTTGCATAAATGTTTCATGAAAACTCAACCAATTATGAGTAAGAAGAAATGCATACCAACTAGCCAAACAACACAGGAGAATACATCAAATTCAAGAAAATCCATGGAGGTCAAGTGATCAACAGAAGACATATCATGGGAAAAAATAATCATAACAAACGGACGGATAGGCTAAAACAGAAAAGCCCCACGATTTCATTCATTTGATTTGATACACCCCCTCCCCAAAAACCAATAATAAAAAATTATGGGAACAGGGCAAAAAATGATTGAAAAAATTATAACAACGGAAAAACAACAGTATCTACCTGGGAGTTACAGAGGATCGAGTGTGAATCTTAACAAGCGAATCCACAAAAGCAGATTTTAATATGTATATATATAGTTGCAGTGTTTCTTGCAAGTAAATTACACTCCCTATTTGCGAATTATAAAAATGGGTGTTTTGTTCTGTGTTTTTCTTGTTTAATTTAATTAAATGCTATGCTGCGAATATATTTTCGTTGTTGCAGATGAAAACGACGGATCCACGGGCTCTCCATGCGGCCGGCCCGGCGATTATGACATCGGAGTGCAAAATCTGCTGCAATTCAGCCTATCGATAGACAAGTACACACCCAATGGGACAAAAACATCTCACAATAATTCTTTTGAGAAAGAATGACCCTTTTTATTTTTTTTTTTTATAGGGTCCAGCAAGCCCATGTTTACATTTCCTCGGCAACCGCACCATTTGAAAGTTGATTTTCAGCGGTGATCTTAGTGAATGTCGTCCTCTAGGAATAGCGATATGGGAATTGAGTAGAGAGGGCTTAAACACAAGATCATTGAGTGTTTGAAAGTCACCTAATGGCTCCTACATGCCTATGTCTACATTTTCTCGGCAACGGCGCCATTTGAAAGTTGATTTTTAGCGGTGATGTTAGTGAATGTCGTCCTCTAGGAATGGCGATAGGGAAATTGAGTAGAGAGGAGTTAAACACAAGATCATTGAGTGTTTGAAAGTTAACCAAAAGGAAATATTTGTTTGCATAGAGAACAAGTATAAAATAGAGCAATGAATTAAGTAAAAGATTAGGATAAAAGAGAGGACTTAATCAAATAGCAATGTACAAATGCTTCTTAGTGTTCTAAGATTCTAGGCTAAACAATGTTCAACAACGAACGTAAGGAAGTTAAGTCAATGCCAATGCCACTCTCGTAGACATTGGACTCTCACCAAGGTTCTAATCCCATTCTCATAGCAATTAGACTAGGTGAGACAATTAATCAAACATCTTGTGTGCTCATTTCCTTCCAACTCCCCTTTCTCAAGAGTGAGTTAGAAATGTGATAGGTTTGGCTATGGTGAATTCCTATTCTCATAGGTGAAGCGCCAAATCCAATGACCTCTTGCATAGTAGGGCCCTAACCAAACAAGAGTCTATACAATTCTCCAATTTCACAATCACATTCATTCTAGAGGCATTGCAAAACTTAGATTTGGCAATTCAATTCACATTGGCATTAATACAAGGAAATTCAATTCAAATCACTAGATATGTTTAACTACGCATAATTGAAGTTACAAAATAAGAACTATTGAAATAATAACCATTGAATTCAAAATGAAATAGAAAACTTAACTTGATTAACTTGACAATGAAAATCTAGAAATTGAAATTGAAATGTTGTAATTACAAGAGTAATCTTCCTTTAAATCTTCCAAAAGATGATGGAATACAATGTGTTAATGTTCTAAATGGTGTAAGTGGAGAGAAAATGTAAAGGAAGATTTTAAAAGTTGAAAAAGTGATTTGAAAATAACGCCTATCACTATTTATACGCTTGAAAACGCGCCCACTTAACTGCTTTCAGATTGCCTGGTCACTATGGAGGTCGCGGCGTGACCTTCATCATGACCAGGCCTAAGCCTCGCAGGTCCTAGTATGTTACTCTGCTGGTCACGATGAGGGTCACACCGTTACCTCCTGACAGAGTAATGGTGCCAGCACCCGACCCGGGTTGTCAAACGGGTACCTAACCCGACACCACATGGAAACCCAACGGCCAGAACTCCAACGGGCAGAATACTAATGGATGAAACGTTATCACAAGCCATTTACTGTGTCATTGAAGGGAGAGAATTAAAGCCTCATTCATGACTCTTCATGTTATTGTCGTTAGCATCAGCTCCCCAATTATGACTCTTCATGTTGTTAGCGTTAGGACCTAGCATAAATAGAACTCCCCTCAGCTAGCAAGGGACGTTCAATATTCTATACTAGAACACATTCTGATTCCTGTACTGAAACACTTGGCAATACAATTATCTCAGTTCAGTTGTGCAACCATTGTTACATAATAATATTATCCGGTAACATATTTACCGTCATTGGTGCTTTCATTGAGAGCGTGAGTTCAATACTCAAGCAGGCGACTACACACACAACTCACTCTCTCTTTCAACAGCAAGCTTGAAAGAATGGTGTCCGGCAGCTCCCACGGTTCCTGCAACTTGAAGAACGGCAACGCCTCAGGTGACCTTCGTGACCAACTCACCAACAATCGTGGAGGGGACCTCCGAGAACAGCTCAATAACGGGAAGCCCGGGGACCTTCGAGAACAACTCAACAATGGAGGAATAAACCAAGCCGTGAACCTCCAGGCGACCACCGATGCCATCGGCAAGCGGCGACGGCACTAACTCATGCAGCGGTGGGATTGCAGGGCCAAGTGCCCCCGCCGCGGCCCCAGGAAATAGAGGTAGAGTCCCAACGAAGGGTAGAAGGCCAGCGACAACATGACACAACCCGTGCGGCGAGGGACGCGCGACGTCATACCAGGACAGGTGGTCTAGAGGAGGGCGCCCAAAGAAGTGGACCGGCCAGACGACAACCAGGCCCTTTCCAATATGCACTAGAATGATTGGGACAGAGAGCGCCTGCGCGGCAAAGATTAGGATCACGGGCCGAGGGGTCCTCTACCAGAGGCCCTCGCCAACACGAAAACAGAGAAGCAGAGAGATCATCCACAGAGAAGATGGGCGAGTTTCGGGAGCCGACCCCACGCTGACACGTTGATGAGTCGGCCCTATGTCGATACTCGGATAAGCGGCGCGTCGATGATTCATCTCCACGCCGACACTTGGATGAGCGGCGCGTCGATGAGCCGGCTCCACGCCGATACTTGGATGAGCGGCACGTCGATGAGCCAGCTCCACGCGACACATGGATGAGTCGGATCCGCGTCGTCGTTTTGATAAACCGGCCCCGTGCCAGCACCCTGAAGAGTCGGCCCTGGTCGAGAGGCTGCAAAGAAGAATCGAGGAGTTAGCAAAGAAGGTGGAGGCACGTGAGCAATCGCCGGAACCCGAGGTACGGATGGCAGCACCATTTTCCCCAAGTATAATGGATGTGCCTTTGCCGAGGGATTTTAGGTTGCCCGCCATCAAAGCATACACGGGGACCACCGACCCGCGTGTCCACATTATGAGATATAAGGCTGTTATGGTAATGATCGGGGCGGGGGATGCCGTCATGTGCCGAGCATTCTTATCCATCTTGGATGGAGCAGCCCAAGACTGGTTCAACACCATCCCGGATGGGTTGATACAAAATTTTGGAGAGTTATCCAAAAACTTCCTGACATACTTCTCTAGTAGCATACAACGTAAGAAACCATTTTCTCACCTCTGCGTAGTAAAGCAAGACAGAGGCGAGAGCCTAAAGGATTTCCTAAACAAATGGAAAAAGGAGGTCAATAATGTCTACGAATTTGACTCCAAGGCGGCGATCCCGATATTTATCCATGCCTTAAGATCAGGATATTTTCACAAACAGTTGAACGCTCATCAACCCCGCTCTTACGAAGATTTGATGAGGACAGTCAACCATTATGCGGAAGCAGAGGAGGTTGATAGGAAGAAGAAGGATGAAGAAGATGGTAGAAAGGGCGGGAAGCATGGGAAAGCTAGTCCGCCCAGCCAGGCACCACGCGCAAACCACTCGCCTACAGGGAAAGACCGAGACCACGAGCGACCTCGCCTGGTCCCCCCTACGTAACTGGCCCCGCTTATCCATCCTATCAGTGTCATTCTAAAGCAAGCTGAGGAGATGAGAATAGTAGAATTCCCGGAGGAGTGCATGAAAGTCTCCCCAAAGGCAGACCAAACAAAGTACTGCAGGTTACATAGGCAAGCCGTCTATGATACGAATGAGTGTCACGTTTTGAAGAGACAGATAGAGGAGCTCATTCAAACGGGATACTCCACTCAGTTTGTGAAGCGTCCATGGCAACAACAACAGCATCGACAACCCATGAACAAAAACACGTGGCGCAAGGGAGAGGGCCCAGAGCCATCTTCCTCAGACACAAAGAGGGGGTACGATTAGATTATGGAAGAAGGAGACAAGGAGCTAGAGGGGGAGCCCGTGCAGCGCAAAAAGCATGTTATTTGCTAAAACATGACAAAATCAGCAATATAGTTATTGATGTAACTATTGTTCATGGTCTGCCCTGATCAATTGTGTTGAATAAGGAAAAAAATTCCATGGAGCCCTTATGTTAGTCAAGTAGGAGGCATGTCCTCATCCACCATAATCGTGACAGGAAACAAATAAGGGAGGCCGCGCGCCTCGACCTCTACCATGGTCCTTGGCCATGGTAGCGGAGGCGGTGTATTAATTGCCGCAATCTTACTCCCTAAGGGCCGGCACTAGATCCGGTCGAGCTAGCTACTCGACGGAAGGGCATTTCTTGGTCAAACTCAAAGTTTGATTACGAAAACGCTATCCCCTAAGGAATAGTACGAGGTCTAACCTCGCTCACTACTCTACGGGAGAGCCGACCTTTGACCGAGCCTACGGCCTGTCGAAGTAAGCTACGAACCTCTACCATGGTCCTCGGCCATGGTAGCAGAGGCGGTGTATTAATTACCGCACTCTACTCCCTAAGGGCCGGCACTGGATCCGGTCCAGCTAGCTACCCGACGGAAGGGCGTTTCTTGGACAAACTCAAAGTTTGGTTACGAAAACGCTATCCCCTAAGGAATAGTACGAGGTCTAACCTCGCTCACTACTCTACGGGAGAGCCGACCTTTGACCGAGCCTACAGCCTGTCGAAGTAAGCTACGAACAAACACGCAAAAAAAAAAAAAATGTAGAAGACGGCTGAGGCGATGCCTCACCCAAAATCGGCCGAGGTGCACGCCTCGGCCCGTCTCGGCGAACATTGGTCGAGGCCCATCTCGGCTATCATCGGCCAACCTCCGGGGCTTTGATAAAAAAAAAGAAAAAGAAAAGAAAAAAAAAAAGAACAATGGCGAAGGCCGAGGCGCGCCTCGGCCAGAACTTGGCTGAGGCGCACGCCTCGACCAGAGCGCCTCGGCCAGAACCCTCCAGAATTTGGCCGAGGCACACGCCTCGGCCAGCGTAGGTCGAAGCCCACTTCGGCCAGCAGCGAAAAAAAAAAAAACCGAAGCC